AAGAGAGAACAGGTGATGGAGAGGTGAAGGCAACTCACTCCCGTGATTCACTGAGAGGACAGGAGGATTTCGACGGATGCTTTGAATTCAGGAGATTCAGGGAGTGGAGAACTGCAGCAGCCACAGACTTGAAGAATAAAGTGTAGATCTTATAGTGAAGAGCTTGAGGTGTTTGGTTGCAGTCTAACAAATTATTTCTGTGGTGTCTGTCTGAGCTAAAACTGATCTCAAAATAAAGAAAAAGGCACTCTGTCAGTTCTCATTCTGTCACACCACAGTACAAGGCTATGTGGTTAAACAAAAAGGTGGTCACTTTTGATTATATTATGTTTCATCTCAGGTAATGTCACACTCTTATTAGGCTCTGATCTGTCACCGAAGCCCCAAAAGGTGTTAAAACAGGAAACACATCCCTGTCTTTTCTCACCCGTCAAACAATTAAGACATAAAAGGAGTCTGGGTGTTACGCCGGGGCCTGCGTCCCCCTAAATGGCCCTGTTGTAGTAGACAGGCGGCCTCTGAGTGACCGGGTGACAGGTGAGCTGCTGCAATGTGGTGGATCAGCGTACAGCAGAGTATGCAGGTCAAAGCTGACTGTAGATTTTTCTCCATATGTTGCGGCTGTTACCGTGGAAGCCCTATCGTGACCCAGCATGAGAGACTGTTTCAAGTGTCGTGATAAATCAAGTTTATTTACATAAGATCCTGATTGTAATAACATTCTCATAGGACTTCACAGGCCCATGATAAGTGCCTGTATTTGCACTTATAGCATGATTTTAATATACAGCAGTACGAGCATTTCGTATAAAACACTGGTTCATTAAAGCCTTGCATCATAGAAGAAACTGAATTCTGCAGTCAATGATGATACACATAAAAAGTGCGGAGCGTAATCTCACTATATAAACTACATGAACATAATACAAAAAAAATAGGATAATCAGATAGTTACATTCAGGTAGAAAGGATGGAAACTAACTCACAGCCCACATACACCTGTGTGTCAAAATACCTGTGCATTATTAGTGAAGCGTAACATGTGTATATCAACATGAATATGCATACAAGCTGATTCAGTACCGTAGACTGCCGATCCAATGCACTGCTGAGGACTGAATATGGTGGTAAACCGGAAATCCAAATGTTTCACTGTATCAGCTCATATAATGCCTTCCTCGTTATATTCTCAGGGGTTTCTAGGATAGAACAAAGTAATGTTGGTGTCAGTGGTGGAAGAGAGATTCAGATCTTTTACTTAAGTAAAAGTAGTGATACCACAATAATACCCAACAACACGTAAAAGTCCTGCAGTCAAAATGTAATCAAGAGTATTAGAATATAATCAGCAAAATGTACTTCAAGCCTCCATGAGTTATTTTTATTACATATTATATTAAAGAGTTATTATATTAAGAGTTAACCATGCATACATTTTAGCATTGTGGCTGGTCAAGTTTCAACAACTTTATACTGTTGGTGAGTTTAACTCGTATCACTGGATCAGATTTTATAAGATGATCATATGTTTTTGGTTAAAAAAATCTTGATCTGAGAAACAGCCAGGGACAGTAGTTGACAATTAAATGTAGCAAAGTGAAAAACACAAAAGTAGATGTATAAAGTAGCATAAAACAGATATACTGAAGTACAGTGCTTGAGCAAATGTACTCAGTTACATTCCAGCACTGGTTGGGTTTATAAGCAGTTGTTGCCCTGCAGATGAATTTCCTTGAAAGAGCAGCTCCATTTAAAGCCAAGTAAATATTCATTAATAATTAATGTATTATTTGAAACTTTGTTTTTATACTGCAGACAAATTTCACATCTTTGCATATTCAGTTGACCTGGCCTGCCCTAGAATTTGCAATTAATAAGAGCATTTAATTATCATTAATTAACACCCAGTTACACAGTCCTGTCCAGGAACCTTCCTCAGTTTACAGGAACCAATACAACATTTGCTCCCTTACTGTCTATTACAAAGGAGATATATATATATATATACAGTGGTGTAAAGTGCTGCATCAACAATCACACAGGCTTGATATCATATGTTATCAACACAGTATATATTTCTGATACAGTTCCACAGGAGCTTCACACAGAACCTCAAAACTTTGTGCGCCTTCACATTAAAATCTTTTCCCTGATAGTATGTCGAACACATTTTCACATGATCCGTTACTGTGGCTCCTGGTGGAAGAATGAATGGGTAGCAGTCTATGGACACCCAAGAGCCTGTGGGGGTCGTCACTCAGCTGCTGCCCGACTCCCACCAAAAGGGAATGACAACTGCAGGAGAGCCAGCAGCAACAGCAACAGCAGCAGCAGTCAGCAGCAGCGGTGACACCGAGATAAAACAGAGATGGGGCTTATGGTGGGCAGAGAGAGCGAGGGGGTGGGTGAGCTGAATCAGCCGCCCAGCTGAGGATGTTTAAAGCAAGAGTCAGCGGTGATCAACGGTTGTCTCTGTTCTGTACAACTTGTCTGTTTTCCCTCTGAAAACTTTTTTTTTTTTTTTTTTTTGGGAAATAATCATTTGCTAAACAGATAAAATAATTCTCCAGGTCTTAATGGATGAAGAATATAGAAATCATCCTGGACTACAGATTTCATGGCGGTCACAGAATCTGATTTCACCCATGGGCCATTTGTTAGACACTGGGAACACTATTATATATAAATATCTATTATCATAATTACAATATATCCTTTTCCATGGTTCAAGTCCATGTTCTCCACTCCATTTTTACAGTTTTGCCAGGCTCATGACAAGCAGCTGTTGTCGAGGGTTAAATTATTTTTGACTTGAGACCTTGATCACACCATTTACAAACAGTTGTTACGCGTCATCCTGAATCTCTACCTCCTTATTTCCTGTCAGCTCTCGGATGTGTGCTGTCTCACTGAGGCCAAAAGGTCCCTGTCTCTGCCCTTATTTTGCTCATGATACAATAATACTCTGTGTTATTGTGTCAGACCCATTTCGAAGATGAAACGCAGTGCTAACTGGCATTTAAACTAACGCGACTGGATGCCTGTGTAATTGCGATCAGGCCCGATTGCTGCGTATCTTGTCATTTGATGATCTTGTTACTGTCTCCTTCTCTCTGTTGCATGTGCTCAGTCCTCGGTGTGTGGGCTCAGAGAAGACGATGGGCAGCTGTATGAAGCAGTCATTGAGCAACTGCAGTCACTAACTGATAGAGGTACAGCACATTAGTACAAGCTATAACTATAATAAAATGAAAGCTACAGTAATGATGTTCGACATTTAGTTTTTTAGTATTTTAAGTTACCATCATTCCCTCCATCATGGTCATCCTAACCATTACCTTTATTAAAGACCTTGTATAATAATTGTAAAATAAATAATAACACAAGACCTAGATGTTTTATACTGTATATAAGTATATAGATTTTTAAGCTATATTCTCAAAATGTGTCCGATTCAACCCCACACCCACTCAACACCTCCTCTCGTCCTCTCCATCCCCCTCATGGGAGGTAACAGCTGTGGTGTCACCCCGAGTCACATGACATGGGCAGGTGGGAGAAACCTATGTGGGACATCCATCCCCCCTTTCTTCCCTCCTATTCTCTCTCTCTGAATGTCAAACCTCACACACACACACACATACACACACACACACACACACACACACACACAATCTCCTCTTTTCAAGGGTGTGGCCATTTTGTATCGCTGGAATGTGCTCCGTGTTTGTAACTCATACTGTATCTCTGATCTCCCACATTGATGAAATTCCACAGACAAAAATCTCTCCCGCTCTTGTGCCTGCTTGTAGCTGCTACGTCGCTGGTTCTCCCCAGAGACTGGCAGCTACAAGAGAGAACATCTATTCATGAATGGTCCTCCACATAATCCCTGACCTTTCAGCTCTGTGACTCTGGTGCTCTGAGAAATCTTATTTACCCTAGTGTACATATTTTGTAATGATGATAAAGATCCATTCATTCACATATTTTGGCACTGCTGCTAAAAAAAGAAGCAATTTAAAGACAGGATTTTACATGCAGATGTGGTTGATTTAAAAATGTGCCAACCCACCATTGGTGAGAGCATAAAATATGTGAAGACATACAAAGCCAAATGGAAAAGACTTATATTTGCACAGGGTAATGATAAAGTGATTGAACCAACTGAAATGATTGACATACTTCTGTGTACTTAGAGGCACGCTCTTCTTTTCCACAGTTTTACTGAGGCTTTCAATTCTAGTGAGTTTTTATCATTTAAATGATTTGGTTTACTTAGTGGATAAACCACTCAGTTCATAGTAGTATTAGAGTATATAATGGAGGAGAAGAGAATTTAAAAAATCCTAACTGCAATAAGAGATAATGTTTTTTAGAAAGATAACTGAAGTTTAATTTTTCATTTTGTTGCGCCTGTTAATCGTCTTTGCATCCTCAGTCTTTACTTGATCCGTTTCAGGATGCTACTTTTGCTCCTGTTTATAATGACTGTGGGTCAAAAATTGAATACTGCAGTGATATACTGTATGCACTATGAAGCAGAAATTACTTTGCAATATATTTTTCATTATAACTTTCAAACTTTGCATGGACAGCTGCGCATTATATCACTTAAAAAAAACTGATAATAAATAAAGTTGTGATTTTTTAATAGGGTGTAAATGGAAAAGAAGAATGGCAAGTCAGTGCAGTGTTATTGCACTGTAGGACTGAGACTCTCATTTAGGAGTTATTATATATCCACCCTGCCACGATGCCCTTGTGCAAGGCACCGAATCCCACCAATGCTCCATGACCACTGCTTGGTTATGACCTGTGCCTTTCTGTGAGGGGGCAACCATTACTTATTCATCAATCAAACAATATTAATATGCGTTTAGTTAATTTATCGTTGGTAATAGTTACATTACGTTACTGTCATGCGCAGCCATTTTTATTTGGTGTCACTCTCTCAGCGGGAACATGTTGTGCTCGCTCAGTTTCTGGGGACAGTATTTACAGACGGACTGCCCCGTGCGAGGAGTCCATCAGCTAATAATCGCATTTTAACGTTAAACTAGATTAAATATTACAATTCAACAAGTTTAAAATGAATTGTACTTGGGTTAGGGGTTAGGGTTAATTAATTGTAAAGTAACGAGTTTGTATTTGCTACAACATGGAGACGCCGTGTTTTGCTGCGCTTTCCTCTGCAAACTGACCATTATTTTGGAAAACAGACATAACAGAGGTTGGTAACTGTAACTAACTCAGTACTGACTTGTGGTTAATATTCACGAGCTTGAACAGTTAAGCTGTTTGAGGTGCATTACCAGCAGTGCCGTAATGGTAAAAAAAAAATCCTCCAGCGCCGTGTCGTTTACACTTCCTTAAGTTCAATTTATTTAACGCTAAATCGATGTAGTTTCAGCACAAACACTTGCACCTGTGAGCAGTTAGCTACATGTCTACTGTTGACAGTGAAATGTCTGTTCTCTCTGTAGACAATGACACTGACAGCTGGTCGCCTTTCCAAAGTGCTGCAGCTCACCCTGGCGGTCGTCAAACCGGACGCTGTGGCTCATCCTCTGATGTTGGAGGTCAGCTCACACTCCCTCACTGTTACTGTCTGTTAGTGCTGCTGTGTAACTGCTTCTCAGTGTGACTTCTTTTGAACGGAACTCATTCAGGTACACTACATTAGCAGTTTTATCTTATATTTTAAAGGGCTGCTGCTGTCATAAGTCTTCCAGAGTGAGCAATGTTGTCAGATAAACATTTTGTAAATATATAAGCTCAGTTCAGTTTTTTTTTTTTTTTTGGACATTTCAGTACATGAGGATTAATCTATCAGGGGGCCCTGGAGCAAAAAACTTGTTATCGGACCCCTATTTGTCACCCACTTTTCACCTACAGTCCTCTGTGCATTGTACTCTGTATTGCAGGGAGAGGGGAAAAACAATCTTATATTAGCTACTTCCATCTGAAAATAAACGATCCTGCCAATATTCTGTAACAACCCTTCCTTACATAATATGCACACAACATAAGCACAACATACACGACGACTAACAGTCCACTAAACATATTATTATCCATCCAGTCCAGTTACTTGAATGCAAACATTTTACGTCATTTAACTGAGTTCCACAATTTGACTTCACATATGGAAATACAGAGTGAATAATAACAGTAAATTGAGGTTTTGTGCACCTTATTTAGACAGTTGAATAAACCAAGTGTCTTTATATTTCTATTCATTAATACATTAATTCAACAAAATAATCCCATGGAGTGGCCTGTTTGTTCATGTCACTTAGCCTACTCTACTATCATCTTTATTTAATTCAACAGTAAATAAGCTTAATGTATTGTATCATAATTTTGTCTGTTAAGTGTCATTCCTCTGGCAGGTGTAACAGATGGTATAATAATATCAAAATGCTGCCCCTTTCCTTTTTAGCTTCCTGGAAGAACTCTGTACACAGTACCCTGCACGTTGTTATGATCCAAATATATTTAGATGAACAATCGTTTACTCAGTATCATCAGCTACAGTGTGGCACAACAAGGTCAAACTTTTTTCTTGTTTTTTTCTCTCAGGCTCTTCACCAAAGAATCCTGGAGAACAACTTCATCATTGTTAGATGCAAAGATCTGGCGTGGAGGAGACAGGACTCGGAGAGGTTTTACGCTGAACATTCAGGTGAGAATAAAACTCATCTGTGTTCAGTACTATTAAAATGAACAAAGAGAAACAAATGAGTCAGCAGCCTGTTTTAGCAGATATGTGTAGGTTAAAACCAGTGATTCATCCATCACTGTATTGTTTGAGCAGCCACACTGAGAGGGAAAAACAGACTCTTGTCCTCAGTAAGGATCACTGAGAGTAATTTCTGATGACGGTTCAAGTCAGGCAGTGAAGTACAGTGTTTAAAACCTTCAAGATTTTAAGTCATTTAGAACCAAAAACTTGTCGTAATCCCACTTATTTTGCTTCTCAGGGAGATTCTTCTATCAAAGACTTGTTGAATTCATGTCAAGGTAAGCCTTACTTCACACTGACAATATTAAATGTACAAATCCTAAATCGTGACACCGGTGGTTCATTGCATGTGTAAAACTATTCTTGCTTTTATGCCTTTGCATAAATGTGGATTTCTGTCTGATAGTTTTGAAATGGAATAACAAGGAAATTTCCATATGCCATAACCCACCGGACTGGCACAGAAAAAGCTCGCCTCGGTTGATGGTGCTCCTATTTCATGCTCAGCGAGTCACCAATAAATCATTTTCTGAAACTTCACAACAGGAGTTTCAATCATCAGCGGACTGCCAAGTGTAGCACAAACACCCCATGGGGCAATTGTCTGAAAATTGCCATGCAGCCTGCTCACAATAGCTCCACATGCGGCAAACACCCACTGGACAGAAAAAAAAAGTGCTTGTAATCACGTTGTCATATTTGTCTCGTCAGAGCAGTGAATTGGTAGTTGCCACAGCAACCTTTCTCTGGGTGTTTTTGGAAACCTAAGAAGCATTTTAAGTGTTGTCAGCTCCAGTTGGCATTGTGTCTCTAAAACTGATAAATTGATACCTGCGCATGCCGGATACGTATGTGTGTCTGAGCTCCCTCTGGAGTGAATATATTCGATTTGTATGAAAAGCCTTTTTTTTGTCTTCCAGTTAAAATGAACAGTGTGTAGGATTTAGGGGAATCTAATAGCAGAACTGGAATATAATAATCACAATTATGTTTTCATTAGTGTATAACCACCTGAAACTAAGCTTAGAATGAGACCTTCAAATCTATACAGGGAGTGCGTCCTCTTATGCGCCCGCCATGTTACACCGCCATGTTTCTACAAAAGCCCAGAACAGACAAACCAAACACTGGCTCCAGAGAGGGACCGTCGCATCTCTACGCTACCTCAAGGCCACTGTAGCTTCTTCTACACGCATAGAAAGGGAAGGGGGAGGGATGAGGGGGAGGGGTATTCAGTTGGTTGCAATCTGTAGCCTCAACGCTAGATGCCGCTAAATCCTACACAGTGGTCCTTTAAAGCCTAGAAAGCATCCAAAGCTCTGTGTGTAACAGCCACACACAGCTTTGACTCTCTAACATTTAACCTTGATTGACTACTCAATCAAACTGCTGTCGAACTCTTTGCCGCAGTGGGCCGATGCGTGCGTACATTTTAGCCAGAGAGGATGCCATTCGTCACTGGAGAGAACTGATGGGACCTACCAAAGTGTTCAGAGCCAGATACACCTCCCCTGCCTCCATCAGGGCCCAGTTTGGACTCACGGACACACGAAACACAACTCATGGCTCAGGTGGGAAATATCTAGAGAAACAGGTTTATGACATGTCTTACACCCCATGCATTATCACATGGGCTGTCAAATCACACACTACAATTTCACCAGGTTTAGCTTTGGCGTAGAATTTCTTTATCGCTGTAATTATATGGCCAAAACACAAATAGCGATACTTTTAAACATTGCAGAAAACTTAAATTATGATTTTTTTTTTTTTTGCTACAATAGTGCATTGTAACACCTGTCTTAATATTTGCATGAAATTAAAAAATTATATATCAGTTATTCATATTACATTTTATTCAGTAGGAGACTGTTGAGTGTTTTAAAGTTCTCAAGGGTTTTATTATTCAACAATATATCCAGTGTGACTTACATAGAAGTCTTAGGACATTGCAAACCCAGTACTTCCAATAACCATTTTCATACATATATATCATATATATATATATTTTTTTTATCATTTCTCCAGATTCTGTTGAGTCGGCACAAAGAGAAATCGGTTTCTTCTTCCCAGACTTCTGTGCGGACGAGTGGATGGAGAAAGAAGAGCCATTGTTCAGATCTGGACAAATCCAATTTGACCATCAAAAACAGATCCACACGCTTTCGGCGCAAAGCTGATCCCAGAGCTGCCGCTGTGGTCACTGATCTACAACATACTGTCAGGTCAAAGACATAAGCGTAAAGATTCTGCCATTGTTTATACTTTGCTCATAGAAAAGCTGCCAGAGCTGACGCTACACGCTTTATGTAATACTGTGAAAGTGCATGTTTGTCAATCACCTCAGCTCCTCAAAGTGCCAATGTGCTCATCCCATGTCTGTGGTATTAAAACAGATTTTCCTTCCATGCCATGTGTTGGCATTTAAAATAAGGGCCATGTGTATGTTTTTGTTTTATTTATTGTCATTATAGAAAACACAAGTGACTAGATAAGAAAACCAGACACTGCATTGTACAAAACAACACGATGTAGTCAGACAGTTTTACATTATCATCACAAACTCCTGTCCAGACGTCACTGTGAACAGTGACGTCGTCGTTATCAGTTTCCTGAGCCATTCAGATTGTAGCACAGCAGCGACTACCTGTTGTGTCCATGTCAAATGAGGAAACAATAAAAGTTTTATGCTTTCTGAATACTCAGTAATGTTGCATAACACCTGTAAAGATACCTTTAGACATATATTTATTCTCAAAAGCATCTTAAAATTAAGATTCTACTTCACAGAAATTTGAATGTGCTAAATAATGATGAAAACAGGCTGTCTGCTGTGATATAATACGCGTTCTTCATTTTGTTTTGGTCTAAATACTGTATGTACTCTAAAATGTCATATTTTGTATTTTCTCTTACCAAACTAGCAAACAGTGAAACGTTGTAACAGGCACCATAGAAATACATCTTACAGCATTAAATATAATATGGCCTAGTCAAAAATGAGAAAATGAGCCGGGTTAAATTTTATGACAGTCTGAATTTAAGTGTTCAGAATCTCCGGCAAAGTCACACATCCTTCTTGTGCTCCCTCAGCCTTCAGACCCATTACGTCTTCTCCACAAAAAAATATTCAGTTAATTTATTTCACAGTCATCGTTTTTCTTTGGCTTCTTCCAGTTTCCCCTGCTCTCAAGGGTTTTGTGCGGACACCTGTTTTAGAGATTCCACAGGTTTCATTACCTCGTAGGTGGTGAGGGACTTCTTCACCTTTCCGTTCTTGTCCACCTGATGGATGCTCTGTGTCACTGTGATGGTCACCTGCTTGGTCGACATGCGATTGTCCTGCCATTTTGTCTGTTAATGGTGAAGAATGACGGATGAGACGTAGTAAATATGTGATATTAACACTTGTGTAAGGTTTGTTTAGATTGCAGACTGTGGCATGAAAAGGGGGCATTTGTGCTATGTATATTTCTTTTTATTGTTTTGTCTGTAATATGTGAAAATGCATGTTATAATTTCCCACAGACCACGTTGATGTTTTCAGATGTTTGTTTTATCCAGTGAACAGTTCAAAACCCAAAGATATTCAGCTACTGTCATGTATGACCAAAATAAGCATCAATATTCTCACATCTCAGAAATGGAAACATAAAATATTTAAACTCTTGCTTAAAAAAATGAATAAAACAATTATTTGATTATCAAAATGGTTGCATCTTACTTTTCTGTTCATGTGTCAGCTCTAAATGTAACATATGAGCAGGACATAAAAACAAAAAAATAGTCAACCTTTTACCCACAAGGAAGTCTCCCTCAACTCATAACTTTTACTCAATGAGTGAAGAGAAGAAAACAGAAAAGAAAAGGTGCCTTGATGCTCTGAATTGACCTGCAGCGTTTAAAAACATCAGGGAGAGACTTACAATCTCTTCAGTGTGTAGAACACTTCGGCGCTGCACTGTGGTGCCAGACGAAGGCAACGACTCCTCTTTGGGCGGAGAGGCCAGGATTGCAGGAGGGCTGCTGGGTTTCACATCATTCAGACTGGCTTCCGACACGGCGGAGCAGACCTTCAGATACGCCTGAGCAGGAGGAGGGAGGCCGTCCTCAAAGAAATCTGGAACTGAAACAAAACTAAATCTTAGATTTGACTCTTGTTTATCATTACAACCTATTGAACCTTGAACAAATCAAAGCCCTGTGTTTACTGACTAAAAAGAATAAGGTCATCCCTTCAACTAATGGACCAAACGTAGTTCATCTGCAAACAAGGCAGGGATATCCAGACAGCAGTCTGATTAATCCCAGTCAGGCAATAATAAAGCAAAATTGAATATGAGAAAAACAAACATTCAGGAGGCTAAAGAACAATAAATAACAGGGAAAAAGTATTGTACATCAATTATCATGGAGGAGATGGATGAAAGAATCAGAAAGCAGATGAGATGAGGCAGGTTATGGCATTTACCCATAATAATAATAATAATAATAATAATAGTAATAATGATAATGAGAGAACTCCTTCAGAGATGATTCATATTATCTAAAACCTGGAATTAGCAATAATACAGTTAATAATAAAAGATGATCTCTAGAACATCAGGGACTGACATTAAAACAAATGCTTTTCCTTACAACTTCTGGAACAGCATAATTGTTCATTATAAATTAGTAATACAGTCTCTCAGCTTTGGGAGACCGTGGCATCTCTACATGTGTACTGAGCTGTTGGTTTCCTTGAGTATTATTCTCTCATTAGTCAAAGGTCAGAGCATACAGACAGCTTATAGGTGCATTACTGCTGCCGCTGAACTCATTACACCACAGTCTAATCAATTATGGAAAACCACTCTGATTATCAGCCTGAAATGTTATTTAATGTGCACATCATATACATATTATGAAGCCAGTATTTTGATATAATCTTTGTGGTTACCAGTTGCTGATTAATTTGGACAATTCTGGACCTGTTTCATCTCCTCAGAGGCTGCTCAACTGAATTCGTCTTCACAATTACATCAAGGCTCCTTTGCCTGCATTCACTCACAGCTGTTGCCATGAGAGCCAAGTCCTGTTTGAGCACACTGGCTTTTGATGTAACCTATTATGTCCATTTACTGATTCATCTCATGTTGGCTTCAAAGAAAACTGCAAATGTAAAAGACAAATTAACACACAACAAAAGGTTTGTAGCCAGATCCAGCTGTTTCTAAGCTGGACGCAGAGGTACGAGAGATGAACTGCGCACCAGAAGAACAAAGGTTTCCAGAGAAGATGTTTTATCAGTCACCTTTATCTTCCTTATATCATGCTCAACCCTTAACTAGACATTTAAATTTTCCTTCTACATAAAAGTTTCTCTATTGTTTTTATTTTTTATTTTGAAAGGGCCATGCACAACCTCTAGAGGTATTTAACGTGAAAAAGGAAACTGTTACACCTACAGGATTTGTACTGCAGACAGACTAACACTGACTGTATAGATGTGGCACCCTTCACTTTGATGTTCAGTGTGAAGCAAAGACCACTCACTGTAAACCCAATATGACTCCAGCCTGAACTCTGCCAGCCCGGTGTGAATAACAGCCAGTATTAACAGCCCCACTGATCCAAAAACTTAAACGTATCAATGAAAATACAGTAGGTTTTTACTGCATGTATTTAACTATAAAAGACACATTTAAGGGTGCAAGAGATGAAAGCAAACATAGGATATAGTAATTTAAAAACAGGAAAAAGACGATTGTAATTGCAAATGCATTGTGTTCCAGCAGTGGTAATCTAATAAACCATGAATGTATTATTCATCTGTTCAGCAGTTAAATGACTGCCTATTCCTGTTAGCAGATCAAGTATCAAGTATTCGTTCACCCATCCACTCAGCCATAATTCATTCTTCTTACCGGGGCAGAGTGTTTTCTCAGAAGCGAAGCCGGCCTCAGAGTTCTCAGAGGTGATGCTCTGGATGGACGACAGGGGGATGTCAGTGTCTGTGCTGGTCAGCCAGGTGGACTCTGTCTCTTTAGTCCAGCTCTCCAGGTAGCGAGGCTCCAGAGCATCAGTCCTGCTCCCCCCACAGCCCATAGCGCTGCCTCAGGGCTACTTCACTTCCACTTTTGGACTTTTCTTCAGAATAGAAAAACAGATTTACAATGGATTTCACTTTAATCAGTTTAAGATGTGACACTGACTCAGCGAAGTGAATGTGTATCTTACCAGTTTCTCTCCTTTTGAAAGAAAGAGCGCAATTATATAATTATGCAAAGACAATTTTAATCTTCAAATAACATCTAACCCTGCTAAAAAATAAAGAAAAGTAAGACCAATAAGTAAATTAGTCATTAACATAATCATAATAAGAGTAAAAACACTGAGTATTAAGTTATTTTTTCTCTCTTTTTACGATTACGCATGAATAAATTAAAGCTAATCATCAGGTTAACAGTTTTAAAGTCATTGTTGTTCCAGATTCTCAGGTGAGCGGTTTGGCTGCTTATTTGTCTCATCTGATGATGTTGTTTAGACTGTGTGTTGGAAAAAAAAAAGAAATTGGGAGACCTCAGCTTGGGCTTTAGGAATCTGTGACTGGCATTTATCCATTTATTTATTATCTATTTTTACCATTTTCTGACATATCATAGATTAATATAGACTAATATGACTGATAAAGAAAATAATCCGCAGATTAACTGATGATATACTATACGATAACACTATATACTGTTTACATTTGGACTTTTGACCAGATATTCTCTCATAGGACACGACCAACATGAACAGTAGGATACTCACAGCACAGCACACAGCTGTGGGACACACCGAGTGCCCTCATATGATTGATGATCAGTCAAAGAGTGGGTTAGGTGGTCCCTCACAGTCACATTTACATTTATTCATGAGCATTTGGAGGCAGCATCTTCTAATTGTCAATCAGGTCAGGGAGTCAGTTTCACACAGGAGCCTGCTGATCATCAAAACATGTAGTCACCTGTAGGCACAGGAGAGAGGGAGAGAGACTGTGCCAGTGAAGAAACGGCGTCCTTTTGTCTTTTTTATTTTTTTAAGTCACTTCTAGAGACGTACTTTAATTGGACAGCACTGAGAATCAGTGCATCTTGTAAAAAATCTGAAATCATTATGGTACAAAGGGATCTTCAGCCTAACCATCCTTTAATCATCAGAGTGGCTTACTGAGCCTATTTAACCGGCTTCTCCTTCAATGAGATGCTGGTGAGGTCTCACTTTATATTTTTACTGACGCACTGACTCACGATCAGGCCTCCTATACATCATTTTATCGCCTGGTTTACTTATTCAGTTGTCTTTCCCCGGAGATTTGAGGGAATCCAAATGAACAGCAGTGCACAGGCATTATTACCTATTGGGTAAAAGCATTGGTTAAAACGCAGTACACGCATATGGACCTGTCATGCATTAACAATAGCTCTCGCACCACTGCCCTCGGCACAGGCCGTGAGGAAATAACCACCGACAGCGTTAGATAAGTAGAAACAAACAAACAAACAAAAAAAAAAAAAAAGGAGGGCTGAGGGTGTTTGACACAACAACGACGCAGTTTACTGCAGCTAACGCAGAGAAAAAGACACGCCACAAGTCAGACATGATGGTGGAGGCTTACTGATGATGGTGTCGGTCTCGCCCCGGCGCTGCTCCGCTGCTCCGCGTCGTCCGCCTCACGGACCCGTAACATGTTGTCAAGGATCACTCTGCTCCGGTCGGTTACAGACCGCGCGCCCGTCCGCTCCGTCATGCCATCCTCCGCCACCACCAACACCAACACAGCACAGCACAGCGGGGCTTATGAGAGACACAGTGAATGTTAAAGTCATTCAGCCTCTTGTCATGAAGATGAGGAGGTAGGCTACCCGTGCCTCTAAATTAAAGTACAATGAAATTACCTCAGCTGTTGCCAGGTAAACTTGGAAATAACACCTGCTGGTCCTCTGTGGTTCTTGTGCTCACTGTCATCCACACATGGGTTTTCTGTTTGATATCCATTAAGGACATTGCATTTCGACTCAGTGTCTTTTATTAGTTGCCGATTAATGTCTAGCTATTTAAACATTAAGTATATAAAAACATTTCAGAAACACAATTAAATGCTGGTTCCCTTTGAGACACTAAAAACACAAAAACTTCAAGGACTGAGGACTTGTCTCCCAGAATAATATTTGGTTCATAGTTCAAGCTTGTATTGAGCTCTTGTCCGGGTTGACTTTCAAAAAGAAGTTCAGGGTTGCTCAAAAGTACTTCATCCAGATGTGCAGGCCTACAGTCGCACAGGTAACCCTCTGGCCCAACAAGTCTCCAATGCCCCTGAAACACCAATAAAATGTTCCCTACTCTGACCACAAGGGGACAGTCACAGCCCACCCCTGCACTCCTGACTGATTCCCATATTCTTCATTAAATAGGGTTTACGTTGTAAATATTTAAATAGATTGTGGTTAGTTGTTTGGTATACTAACTCTAACTAAAATTTAACTAGCTAATTAACTAAAATCTAACTAAATCTTAGTTAAAAAAAAAAAAAATCCACAGCTTCTGCACACTGCCACAAGTCAAGAAGTTGCTGGATCCGGTAAATGCAAAGATTTCAAAGCATCTGCTCGCTCACACTCAGTGCAGCCATGCGGTTTATTGTCTGTGCTTTCAGTCACACAGACCTGTGTCAGAGCTGGTTTATCTCTAAACATCAAACAAATGTGAATCCAGGCTTTTCAATAAGTAGTGTCCTGAGTGTGTAGCCTAGATAAACAGTCCCATGTCAAAGGACAAATAAAGACAAAGAGGCTCTTCAAAATTGAAAAAGAAACAATTCGTTAAATGTGCAAAAGGGGAAAGAAGGTGGAAAATGTTTTCTCATAGGATCATTGTCCTAATATCTAAAGCTGAAATCAAAACACATAGAAGCAAAGATTACTGATGAGGAACATTTTTAATATATATCCACATGGAAAATGTCTGTAAAATAATTAAAGATGCATTAAATGCAATTAACTGTGTTACACTCTCTTGCATCAGATCAGACATATTCTTCAAAAGTGTAAATTAAATCCTCGGTTGCTCTGTGTGACATGTGATATGCAGGAGAAGAAGCTCTATATGTGAACTGTTAAAAAACAAATGGAGTTCTGCCACACTGTGGTAATATTCATTTTACCACAGAGTTGTTTCTTTCCTAAAACTGCATTTCATTGATTGCCTGTGAAACTTGGCAGCAAAATTGCACATTCATCACACCTCTCTTCTGTGGTCAGTCTGAATTTTTGATTTCCCACAATGAACTGAAGGAATAATAAACACCATCTTTCCTTTTTCCTGCTTTACTGAAGCGACTGCATTTGAAAAATACGAGAGCTCTGCTCGTGGAAATGAAGGTCATTTATTCCTGGTGCATCAGCTGCCAATAAACCACATTAGGAAAAACAGAAGAATGGAGCTTCAAAATGGAAGATCAATTCACTAACGGTGAAGCTCACCACTTGTTCCTGTCATACAGCAGTCTGAGGGAAAGATCTAATCTGCAACAGTATACAGTACATGCCCTGGTCAATTAGTGGTGACCACCTCCAATGAGTGCACACACTATGAATCAATGTTTTTCAGTTCTTTCAAGTCGTCAACACTTGACTTGATGCACAAAACACTTAAAAATACAGGTGTTAAAATAGGATTTACAAATTATCAACCCATGGGAAGGAGCAGTGTGTAAACTCTGGCCACTACATTACATATTTCTTCACTAATGGACAGTCTGTAATGGAGGGAAAGACACTGACAAGATGATAGAAGAGCACACTGATTCCTGAGCCATGACCCCCCCCCCCTCCATTTTATATACAGTCTGTGCATGAGCTGAAAAGTAGAAACACAGATGTTTCATCCAAGTAGACAGTGGATTCTGCTTCACTGTGGGGAATTACCAAAAATGACTACACCGCCAATTGCCATTTAAATACATAATTCAACCATTATTTCTGCACAGGTCTGTCAGGATCTGAGCTGAAAACAAAACCCTGGGACTTCCTGCGCTCAGTCCTCGCCTCCCCCCCCCCCTTCTTCACCCAGCTAATGAATCTCGCATCCTGTGGACAGTCAGGTCAATATGAGGCTGGGCAGCTTTGATTTGTATGTCCTGCCCCTCTGTCCTATTGGACTACTGGTCAATAGGCCTGTCTTCCCATTAACCTGGCGATTAATGTGGCGAGCTGCCAAACACTACACTGTCATGAGCCCTCGGCGGTTTCAGCTGCATACGAGGACGCGTGCTGCTGAATTATATAGAAATTGTACTTTACATCAGGTTTATCTCATGCAGCAGCCTTCCTCTCGATGTGAGCCAGTCTGTGACACACTTAGCAGAGAGGTTTGTCTTCTGTCTTCTGGGGCAAGTCATATGAGTCTTCATATGCAAATTACAAGTTGATACAAATCCCATATGTATCTAAATGATGACTACTCAATCATACAGCTTTTAAACATTTTACGTTGAAAGTTGTGTGTTTACATATGTGAGTGCAAGTTACAGTCAAGTAATGAAGTTATAGGCCTACGATTTAAAGCTGCACTAATCACTATTTTTATATGAATAATGGATGAAATGAACTACTCGCATGTAAAAGAAATCACTTGCAGTGACCAATCCACAGAGAACTGTCACCCAGCTCTGCAGTTCCTCAGCTTTGTGAAGTGTTTTAGCATCTTTAAGCTCATTATTTTGGTATTTTCAGCCCTCGACTTTAGTGTCTTCATTCACTCTCAGCACTCTCATCAACTACTGTATATATCACTACTTACCCAGCACCAAACAGCAGAGTTAGCAACCACTGTAACTGGTGAACAAGGTTTGAAGCTTCACCTTCACCACTTTTTTTTTTTCATAGTTTCATAGTGATTTTATTTGGTCAATTCCCAATGAAAGCCAAATGTCTCAGCAGTTAAATCCAAGCAGAGGCCCATGACCTCAAGTAAGTCCCAAGATTTCAGTATGTGGCTCCATTTATATCCAATCAGAAACTAATTTAGTCAGCAGGTAGTTTTTCATCTGATCTGATCAGGTCTTTTACACAGCAGGCCTTTCTACTTGTTATATCAGCAGAAGCACAGATGCTACTAATAACATTAACAACGGCTCTGTTGATCAGTTGATTTCGGCCGTCATTCATTTTATTTACACTTGTGCTTTTCCTACTGTGGCATTTGATACCTACACATTTCCTTCTCTTTCACTATGAAGTTTTATACAAGGTATATTTTGATTTACGCTCAAGATGACAAGCATGTTTTCACATTCCCCTTAAATTCATCTACTGTGTGTGTGTGTGCGTGCGTGCGTGTGTGCGTGTGTGTGCGTTAAACCAAACTCAGTGCTCCAGTTGGCCCCAGCACTCATCCCCCGCCGCTTCATTTTTAACAGCTGGTCAAGTTTGATAGGGGATAAATGCACTCTCCAGTGATTTGCAAAGTTTTTCGGGAGTGAAAAGAACTCTTTTCTGGCAAATTCTGTGAGGAGGGGAGAGTGAATGAACCAGAATGTGCAGCAGCAAAGCAGCCAAATCCAAACGTTCACTGGGATTTTCAGTGAGACAGCCAGTGAGTTACAGCCCTGGAAAACTAATTAGGATGATTTGGGCATCGAAACGGGAAAAGTTGTAACTAAAGGATCTCTGGTTTGCTATCCATGTCTTATCTGTCAAGTAGTGTTTGACTGCAGTTAAAGCAACAGTACTCTAAAGACTTACTGTGAAATAATGATGTGATTTGTCCCGACTAATTTCCTCTTAACTTTGTCCTAATTATATATATATATATATATATATATATATAATTCATATAACAGCACAGCACAACTACAAAAAACAATATGCTGAACACAAATTAATATGTACAGACCGTCTTGCACCTCAAAAACATTCAAAAACAACACTCTGTAAATGATACTGAGATATTATCATTTCCACTTGCTCCGATTCCATCAGCAAATTGTTGATATTGGAGCTGCCAGTGGTAAAATGAGCAGCTTATCCAGATTGAGCTTTGCCTGGAGGTTGTGGTTCAGTGGCATCAATCACATCTCTGGGCCTTTTTCTGGCAGAGACGCGCCTCATGCTCCTCCGACTGGCAGTGACAATCTCCCCCTCTCATGCGGAGCTGTGCCAGAAATCTCTCCAGAGGTTGTGTTCTCTCAATCCATCATGGTCTGAGCTAACATGACACCTTTTCATTAGTGCAAAGTGTCCCAGAGGAAAGGCACAACTACTGCCCAAAATAAGCAAGCGGGGCGAAGATAAGGTGAAAGTGTTAATGAGGTGAGCGTGGGTTTAATGCTCTTAAGTTCATTTGTCTTGGGGAACAAAGAGAGCCGCTGAGAAACGTGCAGCCATTCGGTGAACATTAAGATTTTTACTTTTTATACTCTGTTTTTTTTTGCCAATAGTCCACTTTGAACGAGCTTTGATGGTACAGTTCATAGGAATTATTAACAAATCTGCTTGCAGTTATATATTTCCTTAAAAAGTGGGATGTCCTCTGGATTCATCCCTAATGAAAGCTGGAAGAAAAACTGCACAGCACAGCATCATTAAGTATATATACCTTCATTCCAGTTAAAGAGCCTTAATTTCAGAACATATAAAGTAATATATTTCATCATATCTTGATGAAACAGCCTTTTATTTCATTTAATTACGTAAAGGAGGCTGTAAAAAAAAATCTGACTTTGAAAGCCAAGTCTGTGTCAAAACTTGTACAGCACTAAAAGTCATGTTTGACCTAAAAATTATTAATATTGCTTCTATAACAAAGTCATTCTCCATGACTGATTTATATAATTTC